AGAGTGTTTAAGAGCTCCATCATTTCCAGATGTAGAACTGAGAGTGAAAAAAAAAATTTCCCCAGTTTCAAGGAAATTTTAATCAGTCCTGTGAATTCTGAACTATTTTTGGATGAAGTATATATAAAGGTGGACAAAAGAGACCCATGAACTCCCTACGGTTTTTACACAGCTCTGGATAAGCTGGCTAAGCTTTTCAGGAGAAAAAAATGCAGGAAACAGGAGAAGTGTTAAATTCATAAATTCAGCAGCAAGAAACAAAAACACATCAAGAAAACTCTTCCCAAACTGGAGAACGGCCAAAGTGTCCTGCACCAGGGATTAGTTCTGTGACTGCTCTGTGATCTCACGTTGAGAAGAGGAACCCAGCCCAACACCGAGGCTGCTGCTCGCAGGATGCCCCTTCAGAAATGTGGACACGTGCATCCCAGACAAAGAGCTCGCAACAACGCCTGTGCGTAACGAGGCTGCTGGCTGATTGCTAACTCTTTGAAACGAGCTGTCTCAGTGTGCAGGTTGTCGCTATGTTTGAGATATTCCCTGCAAACATCTAAACACCCTTCCTTTCTCTCCTCTGCCAGTTGGAAGGCTCCACCAGACCTTGTGTCTGACTTTGCATTGCTCCCGTGTCACTCTGCGGGGTCTTTCCAGCCTCCCCAGGCCTGGCAGATGTTTGGGATGGAGAACTAAACCAAAGCGGTGTCTCTGGTGGGGTGAAACGTGAAGAGCGACTCAACGTCCTCGCTTGGGGTTTCTCACCTTACTGTGTGCGTAGACCACGGAGCCCAGCAGCTTCCAGGTGCCGCCCCGCCGGTCCATGCGGATCATGCGCAGGATCTGCAGGAACCTCAGACTCCTGAGCGCAGAGGTGGCAAAGACGTTCCCTTGGGAGCCTGCCGCCAGCACGGCGATGGAAGCGATCAGCACCATGATGTCTGCGTGAACAGAGGGCACGGAAAGCTGAAGCAATGCTGCTGACCCACTGACAAAAGGGACGGCAGCCCTACCGCCACCGGCAGCGGAATGCCGTGCGGGAAATCTCGCATCGGTTGTATCATGTGCTGGAATGACACAGCATAAATCTTAACCTGGGTGAAAGGAGCTACTACATCCTCTCCACATCCATCCTTCCCACAGAAAATGCATCAAATACTGCAAAGCCTGAATTCGGATAGGATTCAGTGTTAACACTGATAAACCGGATTAAATCCCAGCAAAATGCCCTTTTTTTAATCAGCCCTGTTACACAGTGCTGTCCAGAGGTGTGAATTTCCCCCATCTAAATTGGGAGTGAAAATCTAGAGGTCCACCACAGCAATCCTCCAGTCCTCATGGACAAAGAAAGGCCAAGATAAAAAAAAAAAAGCCTTGCTCTATATATCACAAATTCAAGGATGCTGAAAACCTCCCTCATCCCTGGTTTCCTATGTAAATTTTATAGGACTGCTTTTCTGTGGAATAAGCCAAAATCCTGCCCATGACCACTGCCAGCTCCCGGACATTGAAGCAGGCTCCACAGCGATGGCACGGCCTCTCTGCCCACTCCTTACCCCGGTAAAAATAACTGCTCTGCACAGATGGCCCCTTTCGCGAGGGAAGCGCCGAGTGCTTCACAAACAAGAATTAATTAAGCCTCACAACTCCCTTGTGAGGCAGCTCATCAGGACCAGGGAAGGCAAAGCGAGACACGGAGAGCTGCAATGACTTGTGAGCGAGTCGGTGGCAAGGTTGGACACAGGATCGCAGGATCCCAGCTCCTCCACTCAGCTCCTCCCAGCTAAACCCACTTTTCATAGAATCCCAGAATGGTTTGGGTTGGAAAGGACCTTAAAGCCCACCCAGTGCCACCCCCTGCCATGGGCAGGGACACCTCCCACCAGCCCAGGTTGCCCAAAGCCTCATCCAGCCTGGCCTTGAACCCCTCCAGGGATGGGGCATCCACAGCTTCTCTGGGCACCCTGGGCCACTGCCTCACCCCCCACACAGGAAAACATTTCTTCCCAATATCTCATCTCCATCTCCCCTCTTTCAGCTTAAAACCATTCCCCCTCATCCTATCTCTATACTTTTGGTTCAGGAAATCCCATGCAGAGCAGCAGGTCTTACCGATGACGCAGAAAGGCTTGCGGGCAAATTTTAACCGTCCCCTCCAGCCCCGGTACCGGCAGCAGCAGCCGGCCGCCCAGATCCTCACAAAGTATTCGACCCCGAACACCACGATGGTGACGATTTCCTGCGAGGGAGACAACGCCGGGAGTCGAGAAGGAAGCACGATGGAGAGCACGCTCCAGAATCAAATCCAAAGCCTTAACCTAAGCTCCCCACACCTCGGAAAATAGATCACAGAGCTGTCTGCACCACCAGGACCGCTAAACGGAGAGCCCAGGCTGGAAAGCTTGCCAGATCATTGCTGGTGTGTCTTCCCTCACCCTCCCCTGGGGTGGCAAGATGCACTGCACATCGTAGCCTGCGAACTAGAGTTTTACATCTTCTCACTCTGTGTTTGTGTCCCCAGCAGAGGACCGATGAGCGCCTGCTTATCGCCCACTGTTAGTCTCCAGGACTTGACCAGGATAATGCCGAGCAGCTCAGGGAAGACTAGAGATGGGAATCACTGGGTACTCCATCCTAGGGCTCTTCACAGGGGATTTGAGTTTTTTCCCTGGAAAACTGGACTGGTTGTCTCTGTGTGCCGGGCTATTGGTGCAAGGGAGGTGCAGATCCTCCATCCCTTGATGCCAAGTGATGCTGTGCATCGCCGCGCTTCCCATCACCACCCAAACACCCTGCACACGCTCCCTTCCCTCTCATCTTTTCACTAGGGGCTTTCTCATGCATCAAACCTGATGAAGCCCTAATTAAGTCTGTAGCGCTTTTTGATGTCAGTGTAGGGCAGGGACTGGGGAAGACGAAGAAAAAGCAAAAGAGATGTGTGAATCCAGCAGCCCCACAATGTGGCGGTGTGTGCAGGATCTCTGCCGGCTCTGGATCAGCAGGAGCCAGGTTGTCAGTGCGAGGGATGCCGGGCTATTTAAGGAACAAAACTCTGCAGCTTGATGTGGGATCAAATAGTTGCAGGGATGTTATAGCGTGGGAGAGGAGACAACTACCCAGGCTGCTCCCTACGCAGTGCATCCGCAGCGCTAAACCCTGGGAGTTGCGGGACATCAGACTGCTTTTCCGTTGGGCTCAGTCTTGCTACTCTATTTTGCAATTGGAGATAAATGCAGAAAAAATAAAAAGTCTGGGAAGAAGGTTTTAAAATGATCCTTAAAGATAGTGTTCAGATTATTCTTGATACTAATTTCTCCTTTATGCTTTCCCTGTTTGTTACCTGCAGGTCCCAGTGGTCTCCTTCTCACAAGGGACAGTTTAAACTCTCGCCCCAGTTAAACACCCCCAGCCTCAGGGTTTGGTGGGGTTTTGATTTTGTTTTAATGCCTCACTGATGGTTTCATTTGCACCCCACTTACCAGGATGTAAAGGGCCCCTTCTGAGCTGTTCTGGTACTCATCAATGGTCGAAAAGACAGACAGCACCAGGCAGGAGAAAACTAGTAGAAAACTATATAACAGAAAAATAAAAAATAAAAGAGAGAGAGAGGGAATGTCAGTCTTCAGAGCAGGAATTTTTCACATTTGCTCAAACTATCCAGAGAGCAATCTCTGACATATTTACTGTGCTGCTGCTGTAACACTCTGTAAAAAAAGTAAATTCCCCAATTTTACTAACTGAAGGGTTATGCATGGAAGGACCCACTGGACTGTTCCCAGTTTGGCCAGTGCCAATCCAGTTCCTCTCCCAGCAGCTCTGATAACCCCTGACATTATTTCCCAGAGGAACCATTAGCTCTTACTGCAACATGTTTCCAACAAGCATACAAACAAGCAGGGAAATGCTCATTAATTAATGTGATAACAGGTGACTGGGCTGGCTAACGAGCAGGAGGGCTGCTGAACACAAACCCAGAGAAAATCCCACCGATGCTCTGCTGCTGTAATTTCATCCACAAAAGCTTACACAGGAGTGGGACTGCGTTTCCCATCCTTGCCAGGGTAGGACACTTTGGGTGGATTTAATGATTTTTTTTTTTTTTTGACAGGTACTTCAGATTAACTCCTTACTGCCTGGAAAGGCTGGCAACTTCCCAGGTTTGTTGTAGGATCCCTAGGAGGTGGATGCTCTTCTGTGGCCAGACACAGGATACAGCAGGGATTTGATCCAGCCTAAGGGATGGGACTTGGGGGCTGTTAGTCCTCTGTCCCAACCCCAAAAGGAGCCCCATCCTGCTGGAGCTTGGGGGACCCAGCTTTGATATCGGCTTGCTCAGCCTCTTATTTGCCACAGAAATTATAGGGGATTCTCAAAACCCCCTTACAGCATGCGTCCAAGTCTCATTGACATCTCCTTCTATGGATTGTCCCAAAAGCAGCCTCAGAAGTGCCACACCACCCCATCATTCACAGGCTGTCCCCATCAAAACTGCCCACTCTGCTTTTTGTGAATGCTAGCTGCAGTAATGCGCATCAAGAGGCAGAAAATGAATGAGCTCGACTCTCTTCTGACACTCAACACCCCAGCCCACAGCTACAGCAGTGTCCTGGCACCTGCTCAGGGATGGACAAGGTTTCCATCAGCTCGTGATGCCCGCTGCTCGCTCAAACAAAGGGAAGGAAATTAATTTACTAAAGATCGATTTACTGATACAATAAAGTAGGCCAGCACAAGGAGAAACTAAAAGCTGCATTCTTTAAAAGCATTAAATAATTCATCTGTCTGGCTTTGTCTCGCATTCCTACAACCTGCAGATTGAATATTTATAAGGCACGGTTCAGCTGGTGGGGGCTGTTCCTTTTCCGTGCGTAAAGAAAAGGAGTTTCACACCATCTGGGTCGCGCTTGTGGCTTTGCAATGACCATTAATGTCACGGCACCAAGTGAAAACAGAGGATTTGCAGTATTTATTCGAACCACAGGCTGAAACGTCCCTGGCTGCTGGAGGTAAGGGACCTCCAGAGCCATCTCAGCGAAGGCTGAGCTCCGTCAGCAATAAGATTAATTCAGCACAGATAAGGACAACTGCCTGAATTCTCACTGCAAATTTCATCTTCTCACACCAGGGCTGGTACCCAGAGACTTGAAACAACCTCAGGAGAGTAAAAAATATCCCTTGCAATCCCACTCATGATGTCCCTTAATGGGTCTCACTTAAAATGTGTTTTTCTCCCCAAGCTGATCTTTTAAAACCCTTCCTACAAGCAATCCTACCACAGCCTGCCCTGCAGCCAAACGGACTCCAGCCATCCTACACCCTCCAAATCCCCTGGGAGCCAGAGATGGGACCCTGGCTTTAAAGAGCTGCAACTGGGTCAGGCAGCCCCGCTCCTGCGGTGGCCCAGATTCTGCTGCAAACTTCTGTGGTAGAGTGAGAAACAAATGAATAATCAATGAAAGAAGAAAGATAAGAGGAAAACAAACAAACAACGATAATGGAGAAGGATCAGGGGGAAAAGAAAAAAAAAAAAAAGTCCTGCATTTTCTGATTAAAGAAGCAGAATGTGGGCTGTATTTCTGTGACCAAACATCACAATAAAAGGCCAAAGGAGGTGTTGAAAGCAAAGTGCCAGTATCAGTGCAGACATCCACGCGGGGTTTGCTACAGTGAGCACCTTGGACACATCCAGAATGAAGCCACAGTCAAATGACGAGCCCTGGGCAGGGACAAACACCAGGAGAAGGAAGATTTCTGTATGTTAAACCTGTCACTAGACACATACTGTTGGGGGGGGAAAAAAAAAAAAAAAAAAGGAAAAGAAATCGCTTTATCACTTTGAATCGCAGGGGTGGATTGTACAAGCAGTGGTTATGTGGGGAGAGTCGGGGCAGTGGCACATCTGGTGCTGCTTCGTCCCTTCCCCAGCACATGGCCGCTGCCTTGTCCCCAGCCTCTCCACTCCCCTCATCTCCCCAGGGCCAGCTCGGTGATGCTGTAATTTTGTCTCTGTGCTCCCCAGGGCTCTCACTGCCAGGGAGACCTGATGCAGATCATGTTTGCAGGGCCAGCGTTAATTACAGCGCTGCCGAGCATGGGAGGCAGCAGGGAGGGTGCCACTTCTTCAATGAAGCATTGGAGCTCCATGGCCAAATCCCACGTGGACCAAAAACTCCCCATCTCAGCCCTGATGGGGACGTTCAGCCCCCAGGTGCTGCCAGTGAGGGATGCAGGCACTGGCTCACCACAAGATGAGCGGCACAAGCATCCCAAAATAGCTCCACGGTGATGCATAGCTGCTCAGCTTGACCCTGTGCTCCACCAGCCTCTGGGAGGCTGTCACAGGAGACTAAGAGAAGGACACCTTTCTGCAAGGCAACCGAATTCAGGGCGTTGGGGTCTGTATGGCTCCCGGGAGGCTTTGGGGGATGTGCAGACCCCCATGGACAGGGAGGTGGAAGGGGAAAGCTCAGAGGTGTGTCCACACTGGGCACGGTGTGCATCCATCTCACGGAGGGAGGGCAGCGGGGAACCGGAAGGCTGAGTCTGTTTTAATTTCACCTAATCTACCCAGACAGTGCGGGCAAGGGCTCCAGATAATAATGGATAGCCAGGGAAAGGGAAACAGGCCAATAAATAGCATGGAGGTTGGGATGAATCTAATTTTTAAAGCTACATATCTAATCAAAGCAAATTATGTCTGCAGCCTGACTCTAGGTAATGTTAATGTGCAATGAGGATCATTAATTATGTCCCATCTAATGATTTTTACATTAAAGATGCCAATTCTGCTTAGAGCTTTGGAGAAGACAATATCCTCCTCCCCAGCAGACAGGAGCTGGGTCCTATTTTTTTTTGAGCCGGCACCAGCCTCTCCCAAACCCACCCCAGGAGCCAAAGGGTGGTTTTGGACCACTGTCTCCTCCATGGAGTGATGGCACAGACAAAGCTGGCTCCAGCCTCCTGGGACCACTGGAGAAGGACATCTCATGTCACTGCATCTTCTCACCCACCACCCATTCCTACGGGCACCCAGCACCTTCTGCTGCTCCGGGATCCCCCACGCCTGCTGCTGAGACCTTTAAGCTCAGCCAAGGCTCAGCCGTGCAAATCTGACTGCTGCTAATACTAATAAATCCAAAGTCCTCCAAAGTCTGGCTTTACATCCAAAGGTTATGATGACTTAAAACACCCATGCAAGCTTCTTATTACGATTTATAAATCCCAGCACAAAATCTGCATAGCCAGATTTCATAGCCACCGTGCTGCACGTTAGCGTTGGAAAAGAAACGACAGAACTCCCCCCTGAAAAATAAAAAATACTTAAAATGTCTGGAAACAGGAAATACTGTCTTTTTCTTTTCTTTCTTTCTTTCTCAGTAAAAGCATGTGATAAACATAAAGCTTTTCAGGTTAATCATCTAATTTGCCTTCCAAAAGTGATCTACACACCCATTTACATAAGAATTTAAAAAGACCTTTAAATTTATTCCTGAAATACTTGTATTCAAATAACATTTGCTGACATGCAAAAACATTGGGTTTCCCCTGATGGAGCACCAAAGGAATAATTATCAACTGGATTCCTGGAGGTGATGGAGATGGATACAACACAAGGAGGTGGCACAAGCCTGTAACAGCCACTGTGCTTGTACGCTTCACTGGCTTTCCCCGGAACTGGGAAAGGGAATTAATGATTTGGTTAATTAGAAAGAGCAAAGCTGGAAAGGAAGGAGTATTTTACTACAGGCACTTAAGAGCTGCACAATGGAGAACAACTTAAGACATTTCAAACACTTCAAAATTACTTTGGGGATGTAAACAAGGTGTTAATAATTGTCCTAAAATAAAACCAAAACACTTATGGGCAATCCATCCATAACCCCAGCAACCCCTCTGCTGTGGGCTCTGTAAAATGCTGGATTTCAACTAAGACTTCAGGGTAAATTAAAGGTTCACAAAAATCCAGCAATTACAATAAACCAAGGTGAAAGAAAATCCATATTGAGGAGAGGGAGATGGTCAAATGCCTTTAAACACTCAGAGCACCTCACAATCAGAACAGCTCAATTTAAATCTCCTGTGAATCAGAAGCAAAACTCTTCTAATGCCACGACTTTTCCAGGGGCAAAGACATCGTGGTATGCACCTGCCCTTAGCCAGGAGCATCCTTCATCTTTATTCATGTAAGCAATCCTGCTGCGATTTGCAACCCAGCCATTCATTTCCCAGGCTAAACACCAGCCTAAATGCCTCACTCTGCCTTTCCACATCCCTCAGTCTCAGCCAAAATCATCTCCCAAGGCGACTTCTGCCACTAGCAGAGCTGAAAATAGAAGCGGGGAGTCCTGCCTTGCGGTCCTGTGCCTTAATAAATGCTCTCCTTTCCAAAAATAGCTCCTGATGGCATCTCATTCCCCGCAGGTTTGGCCATGCCCAGCCCAGATCCTGCTCCTCGGAGGAGGCTGGAGGCTCCCTGGGCACATTATGGGCAACACGCAGGCTGGCTCCAAGGATTCTCCTGGTTTATCAACTTTTTAATAAATCTTTAGCAAAGGCATGGCTGGGATGATGTCAATAGCTCCTGTGCCTCCTCGGTGCACTGAGCCGGTGGCTGAGCAGC